GTCCCCATTTTATACGGCGTCGCCGCGTCGCCGCGCCTCGGCGGAAGGAGCGGCCGTCGGATTGTTTGGTGTTTCGGCATCGGAAAATCGATGGCATTCGTCGGGTCGGGTAGTTAGGCCGCGCGGTGTGGATTTATGCCGGCGGATGAAAAGACTTGCTTATTCCGGAGCCTTGCAATAGTCTCATCATTCCCCCCTCCACTCCGCCGAGTCGCGGGGCGAGACGCACACCAAAGTGCTGCGTTGCGCGCGCAGCTTTAAAACTTTCCGGCGCGCTCTGGTGCCGCTGAACAAGTGCGCCAAGATCGGCGGCCGATCGCTGGCTGCGCGAAGCGCGCCTCGCCACAACTACTTCCTGTCCACTTGTATGCAGCGCCAAGTTTCCGGCCGAGCGTTCAGAGAGGCTGCTGCCTCTCGCGGGCCTACGCTTGGCGTCCGTTCGCGTCGCGAGGCTCAGTGCCGCCGGTCGGAAAATTCGTCCAACTCGGCCGGCTGGTTTCCCGGTTTCCCCTCTGCCCCGTGGAGGTTTGCGGACTCGTTCCTGCTATTTTCATTTCTTGCAGTTCTGTCTGGGAGCGCGAAAAAAGGCCCTCGAGCTTGTCCTTGGGGCTCTGATGCATGGAGGGCTGTCCCCCACATGCTTTGCATGGCTGAGGGCCCTCGGGACCGGCGGGGACCGGGCCGCGCCTGCAGGGCTGCTGGCACGCTGGAAAGCCACCAATCGACTGTATCTTTGGCGCCAAAATTCGCGTTGACGTCGCCGCCGGCAGCGGAGGGTCAAGAGTCAAACGGAGGGGGAAGGGAGGGGGGATTTGATTGGGTATACACGGCGGGGCGGCGCGGAAGGCCGTGTTGCCGAACGGGAAGGCGAGCGGAGGCGGCCGAAAACGACACGGCCGGTTTCTTTTTCCTTCCTTCCTTTTGATGAACATTTTTCTCCGGATCGTACTTCTTGCCGGCAGCTTCTGCCGCTCGCGCGCCAAACGGACCAAACGCGCCAAACGGCGGCACGGTCCGTCGGCCCGTCTGGATTTAACGCCGAAACGTGCTCTAATTCGGGAGTGGAGTCGGAGTGAGGGGAGGAGGCCGCGCAGCGAACGCCACGCCTGCACGAGCAGGCCGTGTCGGCGGCCAGCGGCATTTAAAATGTAGGCCCCTGCGGAGGGACGGCAGGCAGGGCTACACCGCACCCACACCTGCAGCAATGCAGCGTGGCCTGCGCCTACACTGGCGGCGCATCGGGGTCGCGGCAGCGCGCCTTTATCGCACGGACTGCATCAAGTGCGCGCGATGAGATTTCATGCCGGTAATTGTTGTTATTGTTGTTAATGGGGTGCGCATTAGCGAGGCGCCGCGCGGCCCGTGTTGTTGTTGATGTTGTTTGGCGCCCTTGCCAGTGCGGCAGCACGGCAGCAGCCCGCGCTCGGTGCGCGGTCAGTAGGTAAAAGGTGCCGGGCTTGCTCTGCTCGCTCCTCGCGCTGGTCATTCCCAAGTTTGAATCGACACGCTAATTAGCCCCGTGAAAAGGCAGATGTAAAATCCTTGCGCCGCGCGGCTGTGCCTCGCGTGTGCTTTTCGTGTACTTCCGAGGCCCTTTTGGACTTTGATCATGAAACTGAATGGGCCCTTCCCCGCTGGGCTGGGCTCGGCTCGGTCTGACCCAATAGGGGCCGGGCCGGGCGGGCAGCGCCGATTCGAAGGGCGAGGTCCCCCCCCCCTCCTCTCCCCGCAGCAAACCGGCGCCTGGACGGCCCTCCGCTGCCACTTGGAAAGTGCTTCACTTCCCAAATAGTTGGTGGGATTTCATCCCGGCCCGCGCACGGCCCGCTAGCGGCGCTCCGAGGCCTCCACCGAGGCCTCCACCGCTCCCCGGCTGGTCCCTCCGGCCTCGGGCCGCTAAGTGCGATCCGCCGAGCCGCGGCCCCAGCCAGGCCCAGCCAGGCCCAGCCGACCTCGGCTGTCATCCGAGCGCAGTTAAAACCGGAGACGGGGCGCCGTTCCGTTAGCTTGGCGGCGCCGCGCGCAATCGCGGTCTGGCGGCGCCCCGCAGTGGAGGCCGGGGCGACAGTGTCGCAGCAGTCGCAGCCACGGCCTCCGCGCCGAGCTTCGGAGACAGTGTACCGGCGCGCGGTCCACGACGCCCCGCCCTGGCGGCCCTGGCGGCCCGGGGTGCTTCAGGAGGCGCGCACCTCGGCCGCGCCGCGCCGCGCCCAGCCCACCTCGGAGTAAGAAGTTGCGAGGCTGCGAGGCGAGGGGAGTTGAAGGGGGAACACGGCGCGGCGCTGTTCTTGCCAGGTGCTTGTGTAAAAACACTGCACATTCCGTTAATGAATCCGGGGGCTCTGCCTGGCCTGGCTCTGCCCGGCTCCGCGTTGCGGGTCGGCGCGGCGCGCCGCGGCGCCGTGGCGGCGGAGAGGAAGGAGGAGGGGCCAGAAAAACACGAGAAATAAGCAGCGGGGCCGCAGCGGCGCAGCGCATCTCCAGCGCGCCCCGCGCGACGAGTCGGTCGCCCGGGCAACCGGCACACAGTGGGCCAGAAGACCGGTGGAGGCGGCCAAAACTCTAGACGCGTTTTGAGCTCCAGAGTCGCTAAACAGGCCTTAAAACGAACTTGTGACCCCACCAATGGATTCCTCGTTCGGAGAGCAATCCATTGGAGGGGTCACACGTTCAGTTCAAGTCCCAATTAGCGACACTGGAGCTCAAAACACGTCTCGACTTTTGTCCGCCTCCACCGGTCTTCTGGCCCACTGTGGGCCGGGCCGCCTGCTCCACCTGCACGCTGCACCCTGTCCGCACCCTGTCCGCACCCTGCCGGCCTTTAGTTTAATTCGGCAATCTCCGCGGGCGTATTTTTGAGTTTACGGACGGCGTTCTCATAACAAAGTTGCGTTGCGTTTAGGGAATAGGGGTCCGTCCCGCCCGCGGGCCGGGCCGGAGGCGCAAGCACACTGGACTCGCGGTGCCGCAGGCGCCACACTGGAAAGGAACGGAATGGCGCGGCGGACGCTGCACTGCAAGAGAGAGAGAGAGACTAGTCGGTGGAAATTGCTGGCGACGGCGAGGTGCCCGGGCATGCCCCGCCTAGTTTATCGTACGCGGCCGCACGATGGAGTTGTTGCGGCGTCCCTCCCTCTCCCAGTGGCGTGGTGGCGTGAGCGGATGCACTTTTCTTTCCTTTTGGGGCGTGCCGGCTCGCCCCGCGCCGTCGCTCTGTCTCTCTCGCACCCATACGGGACGCCCCGTGAGTGCGAGAGAGAGAGAGCGACGACTCTCGGAATCAGTCTGCTGGTGAAGAAGGAGATCGCCCTGGCCCGCTGCACTCGTGCCCCGAGCACACAGTGCGCCCCGCTCCGCACTCCGCACCTGGTGTCGGACAAAGCCCCCCCGGCCCGGAAGCCACCGACTGCTCTGTGTTTGGCGCGAGGCGCGACAGACGCGCTGCGGCCTGCGGGGCGACAGACGCCACGACGGCGGCACGACAATGAGACGACGAGACAAAAACACGAAGGAAGCGCGCTCCGAGAGGAACAGTGGCGAAACATTTTAATGAGGGTTTCGTAGGTTTTTTTTTGGGGGGGGAGCGAATCATTCCCGTTGCGATAGGCCTAAGCATGCGTGGCTGGGTCACGTGACCGGCTGAGGCAGGCACATGAAGTACGTCTCGGTCTCAGGGAGGCCGGGGGAATCCCGCAGGCCGTCGCCGGGCGTCGCGGAGGGTCGTGGAGTGGCCGTGCGCGGGGACGAGGGGGCGCTGCGCGCCACGTTCGCCGTCGTAATGGCGGTGCTCTCCTCGCGCCGGGACGTGGTGGCGGCGGTGCGGCGGTGGCGGCGAGGGGGAGCCAGGCAGGCAGGGGGCGCCGGGAAGCAGAGAAGGAAGGGTTTGTTTGCCGGAGACAAAGGCTGTGGACAGAGCGGGGATAAAGACGGCGACCTAGGTGCGACCACGCTCGTGAGGGGAGCCAGGCGAGCCAGGCCAGCCTGCCCGGCCAGGCAGAGCCGCTTCCGCAAGGACAAGCCCCCCCCCCCCCCCCCCGCGCGCCTATTCAACCCCTTCTAGTGCAGGGCCGCTACTCCGCCACGTCGAGCCGCGGTGACACGCTCGGCGACGACGCCGTCGGCCGTCGGCACACAGTGCGGCGTGCAGTACCTGCTGAAGATTCGCGAGCTTTGTTGTTGTTTGAATGCGCTTTCCGCGTGGCTGACAGAGGCAGCCGCTCGGCCGCACCGATGGGGTTTCTGTTTATTCGGGCCACTTTGTACCGCCACCTCCGGCCACCTCCCCCTCGTCCGTGCCGGTGGCAACCCTATACAGTGCGCTGTTGGTGCGGAGCGGAGCAAGCCAGGCGGCAACTTTATCTCGCATCTCGGGTACACATTGCGCGACTCGGTCGCTGCAGGCAGGGCGGGCAGGGCGGGCAGGCGGGCCCCAGGGCAGCTCCCGCCCCGCCCCGCCCCGTGGCCGCTAAACGCCGCCGCTGTTTTTGCCATCTATATTTCACGGCGCGGGGCGGGGCGGGGCTCACACACACGTACACATACACACACCGATGGAAGCGATAGCGGCGAGGGACCGCTGCCCCCCTTGCCTCTTACAGCAGCAGGTGTTTAAGCAGTTTAAGCAGTTTACCTTCCAACTCCCGCCTGACTGCCTGCGCTGTTACGGCGTGGCGTGGCGCGGCGGCGCCGTATTGTGCTCAGTGTGCTCTGAAACTACTGACCCATGCATCAGTGTAGGCGAGGCTGGCCGGCCGGCCGGGCCGCGGACGGGCAGGGAAGGTAGTTTGCATACGTCACTGACGCCGCGCGCGCCGCGCCGCGCTAACTTTAATGGCCACTTGCAGCGGTGTAATTGCGGAGATGCAGGCAGGTGGAAAAAAGACGCGGCGCCGGCGGGAGTTGAACCCGTTCCTCCGGTGCAGTCACGTTGTGGAGGTGGAGGACTGAACCTGGACGTGTGTGTTGCAGCAACCAGGTGGGCTCGCTGACGGGCAACTGGACGGGACCTGCGCGATTCGCTGCGCTCGCTGTACCTGGGCGAGAACGACCTGCTTGAGCTGCCCCAGGGCCCCGGCGGGCTGCTGGCCGAGTCGCGCCGCCTGTCCGCCCTGGACCTGGACCGCAACCGGCTGGCCGAGCTGCCGGCCGGGTCGCTGCCACCCTCGCTGCACTCCCTGAGCGTGGCCCACAACCTGGTGCGGGAGTTCCCCGTCAAGCTGGTGCAGCAGCTGCCGCAGCTGGGGACGCTGTCGCTGCGCGGCAACGCCATCGAGGCCCTGCCCAGCGCCGGCTTCCACAACAAGCGCTCGCTCGACCGCCTGGACCTGGGCGACAACCACCTGCAGGTACGTGCGGCTCGACTCCGGGGTCAAAACCCCGGACGGGTTTTGAGCTCCAGAGTCGCTAAATGGGACTCGAACCAAACGTGTGACCCCACCAATGGATTGCTCTCCGAACGAGGAATCGATTGGTGGGGTCACACGTTCGGTTCGAGTCCTGTTTAGGTATACTCCGGAGCTCAAAACGCGTCTTGAGTTTTGGCCGCCTCCACCGGTCTTCTGGCCCACTGTGCGCCAGAGGCTTTGACGTGCCCTCCTCTCGCTGCTCCTTGAGCACGGCCCTTCGCGCTGCTTGCAGACGTTCCCCAGCGGCGTCTTCAACGGCTCGCTGCTGGTGCGCGACCTCCACCTGGACCTCAACTACCTCAAGACGCTGCCCGCGCAGGCGCTGCGCGGCTGCAACACGGTGCGCCTCTTCCTGGGCAACAACCGCCTGGAGTCGCTGGACGAGCGCGCCTTCGTGGGCGTGGGCCACACGCTGGAGTACCTGGACCTGGAGGCCAACCAGCTGGGCGTCTTGCCGCACGCGCTGCGCCACCTCAAGCGGCTCAGGTGAGAGGGACGCGAGGACGGCGCCACCGCGGGGGCAGTAATCTCTCTGATCCTCAACCGAATGCGATATATACTCGTGTAATGCCCCTGGGAATGTTTTATTCATTCCCGATGAATTAATGCGACTTTTCTCCACTCTTTCCTTTCCCTTTTGTGAGAATGCTAGTTTCACTAATTATGGAGGGGGATACGCGGGGTGGCCCGGAGGGCTTGCGCTTTTCTAAACTGTGGGCCGCTTGTTTGGATCCGATACCTCACCACGCCGCCCCGGTGCCCCGGTACTGCGTGCGTTGTCCCGCCAAGTTTAGATATGCGAGGGCGGCCGGTAACGTGAGTATATCGCGCCTCGCCTGGGCGCGCGCGTTCGCTCTCACACCGACGCACACACGTGCGTACGCCTCTGCGGCTCACGCACACTCTTAAACACACCGAAGCGTTGCCGAGCACGCAACGCCGCCTTTTTGAAGCTGCTGCCGCGCCGCGCCTCAGGTCGCGTTCTCCGGCCAGTTTGTTGATACGGACAACAAATTAAAAGCCGCCATCGGTGGGTCGGCGGCAAAGAATAATGCGCCCTTGGCGGGGCTGCCGACGGGGCGGGGCGGGGTGGTGGCGGTGGCGGTTCCGCGACCTTGACGCCGTCATGACTCCGCAGGTACCTGTACCTGGGGCAGAACGGGCTGCGCGCGCTAGCCAACGACTCGCTGCACGCGTTCGGCGGCACGATGCGCGCGCTGTCGCTGGCCGGCAACCGCCTGGACGAGATGCCGTCGACGGCGCTGCGCGCGCTGCGCAAGCTGTCGCACCTCAACGTGGGCTACAACCGCATCGCCGAGCTGCGCGAGGAGGACCTGGCGGAGTGGGCCGCGCCGCTGGACACGCTGCTGCTGCCCAACAACCGCCTCACCGAGCTCGGCCCCCACGTGTTCCGGCAGGCGCCCCGGCTGCGCGAGCTCAGCATCTCCTTCAACAAGCTGCGCCACGTGGACCCGCTGGCCTTCGACGGCCTGGGCGAGTCGCTGCTCAGCCTGGAGGCGTCCTTCTGCCTGTACGGCGACCACTTCCCCGAGGAGATGCTGCAGCCCCTGGCCGCGCTGTCGTGGCTCTCGCTGGACAACAACAACATCCGCGTGCTCAACGTGACGGCCCTGTACCGCCAGCCCAAGCTGCAGTACCTCAACCTCGAGTCCAACTTCCTGGCGCACCTGCCGCCCGGCCTGTTCCACGCCAACGTGCACGCCGCGCTGGCCGAGGTGCGCCTCGCCTACAACAACATCGCCGAGATCCGCGGCGAGACGTTCGCGGGGCTGGCGTCGCTGCAGACGGTGGTGCTGACGGGGAACCGCGTCAAGACGGTGGCGGCGCGCGCCTTCGCGGACGTGCCCAGCCTGGTGAACGTGCTGCTGTCCGCCAACAACCTGGCCGTGATCGAGGCCCGTGCCTTCGTCAACGCGCCCGCGCTCAAGACCCTGGACTTGCACGGCAACCGGCTCAAGCTGTTCTCCGCCAGCGCCTTCCTCAACGTCACCTCGGAGCACGCGCCGCTCACGCTCAACCTGTCTTCCAACCAGATCGCGGGGCTGTTCGCTGGCGACACGGGCACGCCGCTGCACCTGCAGGTCCTGGACGTGTCGCGCAACCTGCTGTCCGAGGTGCCCGTCAACTTCCTGATGCGTGTGTCCGCGACGCTGAGCCGCCTGCACCTGGACCACAACCACATCGCGCAGCTGGACGGCCACGCGTTCGGCCTGCTGCCCGCCATCGAGCTCATCTCGCTGGAGGGCAACGACATCGCGGCCGTGATGCCCGGCGCCTTCGAGGGCTACCGCCGCCTGCAGATCGTGAACCTGGCGCGCAACCGCATCCACCACCTGCAGCCCGACCAGTTCGCGCGCCTGCCCGCGCTGCGCTTCGTCGACCTGGCGCACAACCGCGTGCGCTCGCTGCCGCGCACCGCGCTGGCCGGCACGCGCGTCGAGCACCTCAACCTGGCCGGCAACGAGTTCGTCGTGGTGCCCAACAGCGCGCTGGAGGAGGTGGGCGACACGCTGCGCTTCCTCGACCTGTCGCGCAACAACATCGAGCACCTGGACTCCACCGTGTTCCCCGGCACGCCCTGGCTGACGACGCTCAGCCTGGCGCGCAACCGCCTCACCTTCCTGCCGGACAACGTGTTCTCCAGCCTGGCGGGGCTGCTGGAGCTGGACCTGTCGCGCAACACGCTGCGCGCCAACTTCGGCGAGCTGTTCCACTACGTGCAGCAGCTGCGGCGGCTGTCGCTGGCCGAGACGGGGCTGCACACCGCGCCCGCGCTGCCGCTGCCGCACCTGCTGCACCTCAACCTGAGCGGCAACGCCATCCGCTCGCTGCCCTCGCCGCAGGACGGCCTGCAGCGCCTGCGCGTGCTGCTGCTCAGCCACAACGACCTGCACGCCCTGCCCGCCGCGCCCATGCTGCGCGAGCTGGACATCTCCAGCAACCCCATCAAGGTGAGTGAGTGATCGGCCAGCCGGCCTTCGGGTAGAGCGCTCAGCGATCTTGTATTTATCAGTGTATCAATTTTTCTGTGTGCAGTCGCTGACGCGCGAGAGCTTCGCGGGCGTGCCGCGGCTGCAGTCGCTGACGGCGGTGGACCTGCCGCGGCTGGAGCGCTTCGATTCGGACTCGCTGAGCCGGCTGCGCGCGCTCACGACGCTGTCGGTGCAGACGTGGCCGCGCATCGAGAAGTACCGCTTCCGCCTGGGCGGCGCGCTGTCGTCCGTGCCGTCGCTGCGCCGCCTGTCCGTGCGCGTCATGGAGCGCTCCCTCACCGACCAGCTCCTCGGCGGCTTCAACCCCAAGCTGCGCCGCCTCGAGATCACGGGCCGCAACCTCCACGACGCGGCCGCCGACGCCTTCGAGGGCATCGAGGACCACCAGGAGCTCGCCCTGCAGGTACAGTGTTGCGGCGACGCCTACCAGGCGCGGCGTCGACGCGGATGTTTGTCTTACGTCGGTGTTGTTGTTGTTGTTGTTGTTGTTAGATCCACGGGACGCAGCTGACCGAGTTCCCGCCGGGGCTGTTCTCGCGACTCGAGCGCATCGCGCACCTGTCGCTCGACCTCCGCGACAACCAGTTCACGTCGCTGTCGGCGGACACCTTCTACCACAACTCCAGCTGGGAGGCTGTCGGGACCAAACTCATTCCAGGTAGGCGCGGTCGCCACCATCGCCGTGTTGTTGTTGTTGTTTGTTGTACTGACTGGCGTGGTGTTCGCAGGCGGGCTGAACCTGAACGGCAACCCCTGGTCGTGCGACTGCGCGCTGGCGTGGCTGGGCGGCTGGATGCGGCGCTGGCTGCGCGAGGTGCTGCAGGTGCACGCCGTGGCGGCGGACGCGGCGCAGCAGCTGCAGGACGCGGCGCGCCAGGCGACGTGCGCGGACCCGCGGTCGGGGCAGCGCGTGCCTCTGCTGCGGATGCGCGACCCGGGCTGCCAGGCGTCGGCGCTCAGCTCGGCGGCGTCCTGGCGGGGACGGCCCCCCGCCCCCGCCGCGCTCGCCGCCCTGGCCGCGGCCGTGCTGTGGGCCGCGGGGACCGGCGCCGCCGGGGTGCCCGGCGTGCTCGGACTGGCGGTGCAGGCCGTGCGGTGACAGGAGGCCCCGGCGGGGCCCGTCGGCCGCCGCCGGCCTGGGAGCTAGAGCGCCCCGGGACCCAGCTTGATGAACTCGAAAGACTCTTCGCCAGTGACTCCGTATCCTCCGTGTAGATCGCCCTATCGGGGCGTTGCCATCGAGGGCTTGTTGTCCGGACTCGTCAAGGGCCTGGGCCGGCCTGGGCCTTCGAGGCCTTCGAGCGGAAAAGTTGGCTGGTGCCAGCACGTGCACGGCACGGCGCGGCCCGGAACCTAATGCGCGTAGGATTGCCAATATGGCGCCGGCGTGTGGGACTTCGGCGACTTTGTGAAGTGCAACGCCCCGGCGCGAAACCGTCCGTCTCGTGCAGACCGGCGAGCGGGACGCTGGCGGGACGCGGGACCCCCCTGCCGTCCGGTCTGACGTCTCGTCTGACTGAGTTTTTGACACTGACAGTACTGACACTCTGCTGCTCGCAGTACGGCCAAACAAGATGCATATCATTTCGTGGCCATTCTGGTGATAGCCACGACCTTTGTTGTTGTTTTTGTTAAGCTTGTACTTTTAATGACGGACTCCGTTGGGGGAAGAGCGCTGCCCGGAAGGAAGTTTGTTGTAGAGGTTGATTTTGTGAGCGGTGTCGCCGCGTCCTGAGTGTGGGCAGCGAGGCGCACCGCCGACTTTCTCTCAAATCTATGTTCTTCTGTCCTGTCGCGTGAGGTGACCCACTGAACAATTCTGTGATCGCTGCTTGAGGGAATATGCTGAAATGTTCAAGATGTCTGCTGTAATTTATTGTAAAACTGAACAATTGAAGTGTGTCGCGGCCTGCCAGGGTATTTCCGTTTGTTTGTTTCGTCTTGAGACTGAGACTCTGCCGATTCGGACCGTTGTAGCGCGGCCAAGGCAGTCGCAGCCTAATTAGTACAACGGCAGTGCTCGGCCGGCCGGGCACACTGGTACACAGCGGCCAGGAGGGCGGAACGAAAACTAAGTCCCAAGTCATGTCTTGCGCTGTCTGGAGGGAGGGACAAGCCCTGCTCGCCCTGCTCCACTGCCATCCATTGCGTCCCAACTTGAGCGGAACTGTTGCACGCAACGCCTGTTTTAACGTTTCAGCATTTTAAACCCCGGACTCGCAGTGGCGTGTCGCTTTGCCGCTCCGCGCCCCCGCCTGGCTTCGACAACTGTTGCCGTCCGCCCGACTGGCTCGCTGTCAATTATTTCCAGCCCCCTATAAAAATAGAAAAAAAGTATCTGTTTTGTGTCTGGGTCTCCTCTCGTTTCGTGTCTTTATTTTTATTTTTTTCGCGACTGACTCGTTGTTTAATTCTACGCGAATGAGATCGGCTCTAGGCCGCAGCGCCGCTGCCTCGGCGCACCACGCCCCCAACGGAGTCGAAACTAATTTGTGATACGAGATATGTATTAGTATTGTCATAATTGCTACTATTAATACTACTCCCGGGGAGTCGTCGCCCGCTACTGCGGGCGAGTGATTCCGCCGGCCCTGTGTGCGTGTGCGAGTGAATGAGAGTGGGCGCGCGCAAAAAAAAAGAGGGCGGTTCGTTTTCCAATCGCGAACACGAGCCATTCGATATTGTTTTCCCGGCAGCCATCATTTTGTGATGATGTCGGTATGCATTTCCATCTTGTTACTCTGGCCGTGTCGGCCGCCCCGCTGTTGTAATGAGTCGACGAATAAATGGAGCGATGAGGACTGTGGAACGGACAGTGGAAGCGAAAGGGCGTCATTTTTTTCCTCCCCTCTCCTCGGCCGCGTCGTCGGGGCGCACGGCACTGCACGCGAGCGCACTGCGCTCAATAAGCCAGCGGAGCCAGCGAAGCCAGCGAGGTAAGGCGCCACTTCTTCCGTGCCGGCGCGGCGGGCCCACTGCGAACAGCGCCGCGCCCCGCGTCTCTCTCGCACCCCTGCGGGCCGCCGCCGGCCGCGCCGTGCGTGCGAGAGAGACGCGGCGGCGAGAGCGCCGTTCGGAACGGGCCGGCCGGCCGTCCAGCACACGACAAGGTAGGCATAAATTATTTGCGCCGCGTAATTTTTCCGCGGCCGCTACTTTGGGTCGCGGAGCGGCGAACGGACACCGCGGTGATGCCTGGCGGGTTCGCGCCGGCTCGGCTCTGCCCGGCCCGGCCCGGCTCGCGCCGTGGAAGTCGCCACTCAATGTTTCATGACGTTTTAAGTAGGCTCCACCCCGCCGCGCCTCGCCGCGCCACGCCCCGGCGAGTCAACGCCCCTCGCGAGGTCGCGGGGTGCTCCACACCGTGCGGCGCCACCACGTGACTCCACAGCACGCCCCGCCGCCACGTTTTTCTCGCCGCTGCAGACGAAGACACTCTCCGCGGTCGTCGCCGCAGTCCCCGCCGCGCCGTGGCGGACCCAACCTCTCTGAACGCGTTCCATCGAGTAACCAGGCCGGCTCCGCGAGCAGGCACTACTTCGGGCCGCGCGGCTGGGACTTGCCCTCAAGTAGTCGCCCAGTCGTAAAGGGCGAAACAAGCCATTAAGGCATAACGCTGTTGGAGAGCGTTGGTGGCTTACAACTCCGGGCACGCGTGCAGTCGTGTGTCTGCGAGGAGCGTCCTGGAGGAGTCCTGGAGGGCTCACACCCGGGGCTTTAACGGCACGCAGATCCAATAGGGGCTTTAGCAACCGCCGCGCCCACGCACAAACGGCCGAGCTCTCCGCTTGGCGTGCAGAGAGAGAGAGAGAGAGAGGTGTTGCCGACGTCCACCTTGCGCGCGCGGCCCTCCGCTCGCTACTCGGCTTAGCGAGGTACTAAGCAGGAGAAGCGCGGCGTCGCTGACGGGTTGCCTACCTCCTGGGAGGAACCCTGCCGCCGCCGCTGGAAGGCGCCACACCAACAGTGTGTGTGTGTGTGTGTTTGTGTGTGGGAGCGCACGGATGTGGTTGTGTGTGTGGCTGATTCGTTTATCTCCGTATCCACCCCCGGGCAGCCCCCGAGTGGCGCGCCGCGCCTCCGGAGGCGTGTGGTTGTGTTTTGTTCCTCCCGCGTACGAAACCGAAAACACATGGAAATGCTACACACCACGGCAAAAAAGGAAGGAAGGAAGAACGCACACACACACACGAGGCAGAAGAAGCAGCAGTGGCGTAGCTTGGCGCGGCGGCGCGGCTGGGAGCAGCACGGCGAAGAGGGGAGGCATTCCTCGCTCGCTAACCCAGTCTCATATGCGCACGGTATCGCGTGCGACACATATGAATGGTATGATATGCGCGCGTCGGACTGGCAGCCCTGGCTGGCCGTCCGGCCCTCAGTCTCCGGGCCCTCACGCGCCCGTCAGCCCTTCCCCACCCTCCGCCGAGAGAGAGAGGGGGGGGGGGAGCCCGGGGAAATAGTCCGCTATCCAACATCCAATCTTGACTTTGAGAAATCTCGGACACGGATGGAAATGGACTAGTAATATGTTGGTCCGGGCGGGCCTGGCGGGGCGCGGCGGCGTGTATCTTTGGCTCCGGGCGAGGGTGGGGGCGGGGGCGGGGCTGAGCGATGATGCGTGGCGGGTCTGGAGCGTCCCGGAGCCTCCAGAGGGGCCGCAACCTCCGGGCCGCCGGGCCTCCGGGCGGAGAGAAGGAAAGGGAAGGGCGATGAGCGGTTTTCGTTATTTGCCGTGCACTACCAGCAGCAGTCCCGTCCGTCTGCCTCTCTCGCACCCACACAAGAGAGCGACCGAAGGAGAGAGAGCGAGAGAGAGATAGATAGAGAGAGAGAGAGCGTGTGAGACGAGGGTCCCGCAGCCTGCTCGGCGCCTCCAAGCTGTGCGTGCGCGTGGCTGGTGCGTGGTCGAGGCGCCGGCCCCGCCGACCGCAGTCCTACCCGTGTTTGCCGCTGCTCAACTCCGACGGGGCCCACGCTGTGCTGCGCTGCGGGTGCGCGGCCGGCTGCCTCCGGACAGCGCTTTCGTCGCGCCGTCTCTCTCGCACCCACGCGGCGACCCGAAGGGCCGAAGAAGAGCGAGAGAGACGGCGCGAGTCTGCTGCGGCAATCCGCCGCGTGTGTGCTTTTCGACACTTGAAAAGTGGTGGAGCGGTCCTGCTGGTAGGGGTTCCTCTGTCTCTCCCGCCCCGACGCGCGCCACTGCTCAAAAGTGCACCCGTGGAGGGCTCCTCTAAACTTCAAACACCCGGGGAACCGACAGATCCAAGCCGGGTCCGTTGGACCCACGGGTTTTACCAGAGAGGCCCAACCCAAATGAACGCGTCATCGGGCGCGATCGTGGTAGCGACATTCGGAATAGGCGAGAACTATTTCCGGACTCTCGGGCGCGAGTCGAGCCCGCGGAGGCAGGGAGGCGTCCAACCGAGCTGGTCCTCCTGGTTCTCATTTACAAGCACCTATCCCCACTGTGCCAAGTGACGGCCAGCAGCCGAAATCCAGATTCGGCTGTCGCACCGTTTTCCAGTGGAGCGGGCTCCGCCTGGCTCCGCCACGGGATCGCGTTACTGTCGCCCGACTGGGGCTCAATTGGGCTCCCCGCCCGCCCCCGCCCCTCGCGCCGGACACAGACCACCAAAAACGGACAACGGGACACTACTGTGCCGCCGCCGAAAAACAACACGACCTCCGCGCGGCTGGCTTGGCGTGGCGGTGCGGCGGGCCTACACAAAGTACGTGACCGATTCCGGGGGAGGCCGCAGCACCGGAACCAATCGGAACCCGGAGCGGGGCGGCGGCCACGTGCGCGAGGACCGCGACGGCGTCCGGAAGTACCCGTTGCCGTTGAGCGCGGCCAAACGCGCCAGCAGTGGATAAGGCACGAAGTAACCTATTCAGAATGGGCGGAGGCGGGTTGGTTCGAAGAAATCGAGGCCGCTGCGCGCCGTGCCGGTTACCCCCGCTTTGTTTCTGGTCCTCCAGGGGCACTGCTTCGTGCTGCTTGTCCGGGCAGCCGCCTCGCAGGGCTAACGCAGGGCAGGGCCCTTCAGGGAGGCCCTGGGCGAGGCCCTGGGAGGGCCGACCGACCGGTTGAGAAAGGTCGCGCTCTTAAAAATCAGTTCCGGTGCGCAGCGCGCGGCCCGGCCGTGGGCCCGGCGCAGGGAGCCGGAGCAGGCCCCGGGAAGGGAGGGAGGGGCAAAGGGCGAGTGGAACATAGGGAGGGCGCGAGGGCGAGAATAGTAAAAATATCGAGCCTCGGGGAGAGCGGGCCGCCTCGCCACGCCACGCCACGCCCCAGTCGGCGGGAATGCCATCAGGCGCGCTACCTACCCACCCACCTACAGCAAATAGAGCCCACCGCTGCAGGCGTGAGGTACTCCGCAGGCCCAGGGGAAGGAAGAGGGGGGGGCATTCGGCCTGCACCGCGCGTCGGTCTGTCTGCCTGCTCCTGTCCGACCGGCCGACGTTGGTCGATGGTCACGTTGTCGCAACGCGTCGTTCGTTAGGTGGCTCGGGCGCGCTCGGGCGCCAGCGGGTCCTTGGCCGCCACTCGTGTCGCCCAGCAGCTTCGGCCCCAAACAATCCCGTCTCTCTCGCACTCGCGGTGCGGCGCGGCGCGTGCAGCGGTGCGAGAGAGACTGGGGCCACTGTTGGAGCTGCAGCAGAGCCTGATCGCTTTCCTCTTGACCCACATCACGCTGGCGTGGCGGCGGCCGGTCTATCGGTACCTCCACATCGGCAGGGCGCTGCACGCGTCCACCGGACGGCGATAGGCTGGCCCAAGGGTGCCCAAGGGCTGGCCACGCCGGCCGAGGCCAAGGCCGCGGGGGGCGCCCCTACAGTGTACTCGCGAGTGTGCCTACAGTGTAGAGTACCCACGTAGTGTACGCGAGGAGTGCTCAGTGTCTACAGCCGCAGCCAGGCATTCAACCCAGAGAGAGAGAGAGAGAGAGAGAGAGAGAGAGAGAGAGAGAGAGAGAGAGGAGGGAGAGAGAGCCCGCCCAAACTTTCGCCAACGAAAATATTGTGCCTAATCTTTGGCGCGGTTGTTGTTATGGTAGGAGAGATAGAGGTGAAATAGAGATACAGTGGCGCGGCGGGCAGGCCCTGGCAGGCCCGACCTGCGCGCCGCGCGCGAGACGCCGCGTGGTGTTTTGGCTGCTTTGCATACCGCGGACCCTCCACTGTATCGCCGCCATCCGCACTGTGTG